AAGACAAAGAATGGACAGCGGCTCTCAGCTACAATCCCCATTTCTGGGGGACACCAGAGTTAATACTGTTCTGTGGCAAAAGAAGATCATCGAAGCCCTAAGAAAACTGGGACAAGAAGTCTGGCTTCCTCAATGCCTAGATGTGTTCCATCAGCGTCCCCCAACATTTTTCAGTCCATAAAGATGGGGGAACATGGATCTTCAGACATCCCATCCAGTCATCCACAGCCTTAGCTACATCACAAATCCAACACCTACCCGACCGCACCTGTATCCAACAAGGTCACCACCAATCTCATACCATGTCATGATCCATCAAAGGAGTCATTACAACATAACAGATGGAGACGCACCAACAATCTTATTTTGCACATTGACAATGTACAAAATAAGATCTCACCCTTTTTATTGCTTCATCACAAGAAAGGAGATTCTCTCAATTTTATTCCCACTTCAAAAATGTTCCTGGCTACCTGGCAAAAATCAAAAGGCTTAGTCTAGCTCGAATAAAACAAAGCCTCTTCTTATTTACTGAGTTTTCAAAAATGAGATTCATTCAGTCAACACATATTTACTGAGTATCCTTCATATGCCAGGTACCATGCCCCATGCCGTGAACTCATTATCTCTAATGTTCAATACTCCTGCAAAAAAGAAAGTCACCTTCATTTTCTGGGGGACAAGACCAAGGATTCTACTGCTTAAGTAACCAGTCCACAGTCACACAGCTTGTAAGTGGCAGAGTTGGGACTGAAACCCAGCTCCCAGATCAGACTCCATCACATTGCTCACCCCTCTTCCAACTCCCCCCACCCCCACCCTCCTTGTCTCCCCTATTCCCTCACCCCGACCCCATAATTAGGAAGGGACCCCCTCTACAGGGGGTCAGCTCAGCGAAAGAGACAGTGAGAAATAGAGAACTCACCACACAACATGGTGTGTGCCAGAACAGAGGTTTGCAGTGCTGTGGGGGCCAAGAGGAAGAAAGGAAAGCAGGAAAGTCTTCTCACCAGAGGCGACAGAGGAACTGGGTCTCAAGGAATGAGCAGAGTTTAAGAGACAGATGAGTGTTAAGGAGAGAGTGAAGTGCACAAGCAAGAAGAAAGTAAACAGACAGCCAGAACAGGTTCAGGAGCAAGGAAACACAGGACAGATGAAGTAGAGTGGCAGAAACTCAGGCCAGAGGGTTGAGTTTGGGACAGAGTGTAAAGAAACTTATTGCATGACGAGCTAAAGAGTGTGGACTTTATCCGAAACAAGGGAGAAGCCATGGCATTTTTATGGGAAAAGACATCATATTTTATAGGAAAATAATTTTTACAGCAGCACGTTAGGTAGATTAGAGTAGGGGGAGACTGTCCACATTTCATTCGTTCTAAACCTACCACAACATTATAAAGCATCTGCTATGTGCCCTGCGCTATCCTAAATGCTAGAAGACAACAGTGAATGAGACACAGTGTCTGTTCTCAGGGCACTGATGGTCTTGGGAGAGTCAGACTAGTAAACAGGCAATTACAATACAGTAAGTGTTGAAATAGAAGTATGCACAGAAGGACACTCAAGGGTGGTGGGATCCCAAAGGAAGTGACATCTAAATTGAGATCTCAAGAGCAATAAGGAAGGTAAAGGGAGTCTGAGATGTCTGCACTCCAGACAGAAGGACCCACACGTGCAAAGGCCCAGAAGTTGCAGAGAATGAGATAAGTTTAGAGAGCTGTTAAGGGGCTGAGTCCAGATGGAGAAGGCCCAGTTTTCCCACAGGTCCTGGGCACTCAAAATATGGTGGTGAGGAGGAGGTAAAAGGATTCAATTCAAAGATAATACGTGAATACAGGGTGTTATGAGAAGAAACTGACTTAGATAACAACAAAAAGAAAACAGTAAAGGGGGAGAATTGGCTCAAAATCCATCAGCCTTGGCCCTGCAGTTCAATCATGTGCTAAAACGTGACCTGAATCCAGAAAGTCTGAGGACTTTTACCAAAACACAAAAGTGTACTCTACAGAGATGACACGTTTCAGCATGCTGACTGCAGCACAAATCAAGATAAAGTACGTTATCCTGAGATACGTGGCTCCTATAGTGAAGGAGGAGGGGAGAGACTGACAGACGCCGTCTAACTCTCAAAATCACATGTGCCACAACAAACGGAAAAGTTCATCACAGGGCTGGGTCAGAATTCTCAAGGAAAGCCCTAAGTCCTGAGCCCCTGATTCCCCAAAATCTGGTCAAACACCAGGTGTATGCCTACTCTTCTGGCAAAGAGGAGTCATTTACTGAAGAAAAAGATGGGCCCTGAGGGCGTGTTAAATAGACAGGACATGACTCAGAAGGAGGGGAAGAGTGAGTCTTAAGTACAGGGCAAAGGAAAGCCAGTCAATCAATCCTTGGACACACCTCTGCCCCAAGGCCGCACACGGCTTCCTGCCTGGCTAAAGGGAAAGAGACTTGGGCGCTGCATAAGGGCCTTCCTCAACAACACAGCACACTTATTTTCCATTTTCCTCTCAAGTTGGAGGGAGAGCTCTGCTTAAAATGCCATTTTTTCGCCTGTGTAGTTTGCTGCTTGTTATTTTTAAAAGATGAATCCAAACTGTCTATGAATTTAACACTATGTCTACTTCAACTGCCCATGTCAGTAATCAAAGTCAGAAGTGAGCCTTATACTTCCATCTACATTACACACACACACACACACACACACACACAATCTTTAAGGCATGCTAAGAATGGATCCAAATGTCACTCTGTCCGCTCACCCAACCCAACCTGCTTTCCAGAGGGCAGTCACCAAGTTAAATCATGAAGAGAGAGGCCAGACTTGGTTAACAGGTCACAGGGGGCTGCCTCACCGGTCCTTGCACTAGTTATTATCTTTGAGAAGGAGTGAACTGAGATGAAGAGCTCAGCTCCTAAAACATTTCTAAAACAATCAAAAAATTTTTACTACAATATGGGCATACATTGAACCATTGTGACAAACAAACAAGAAATACAAATTGCCAGTAAGCATATTTTAAAGTTCATACCAAATCCAAAAAAAGAAGCTCAAATGCTAAAGCCAGATTGCCTGAGTTCAAATTCCAGCTCTGCCACTTACTGGCTGGGTGACATTGAGCAAATTCCTTAACCACTATGCACCTCTATTTACTCATCTGTGAAATGGGGATAATAACAGCATTACATCAGAGGGTTGTTGTGAAAATTAAACCAGTGAATACATGTAAGGCACTTACAACAGTGCCACATAGAATGTGCTCAATAAGCATTATTACTATTATCATTCAACTGCAAATTAGATAATTCTACAGCCTCACAGCTTCAAACAGGAAATCACTGGCATTTTACATCACTTTAAGTACTTAATGAGGATGGTCTCACACATGCAAAAACCTATATATACTTATCCAAAAGCTGTGCCTCTTCTCTCTAACATCAGGATAGCAGCCCAAACCAGTACTGGTCCTCCACAGAGAGACACCAAGTTCAATCATGAAGCAGAAATCAGTGCTGAGATCTGACTCGCATAATAATAATAATAATAATGTATTGAGTGTCAGGCACTGTTCTAAACACATTAATGTATTAACTTATTTAACCCTCACACAACTCTATGAGATAGGTACTCTTACCATCCTATTTGACTGATGAGAAGGCTGAGGCATAGATTGCTGTGCAATTTCTAAAGGTCACAGAGTTACAGATGGCAAAGCCCAGATTTGAACTAGGCAGTCTGGCTCTAGTGTCAGTGCTCTTAATCTCTAATGTGCACTCACCACACTGTCCTTGCTGATCACAATTTCCTAGGGCACCCACAAATTGTTCTCAGAAAGAGAAGGTTCTCAACCTTCTAGAAATGGAGTCACAGCTAAATAACATCAGTTCTTCAGATACCTGAAGGTACTGAAGCTAATCTAGTGACAGTGACTAGTATTGGTCTGCCTTTTGGGGGCGTGGGGGGAGTGGGGAGCAGGAGATGGTTAGTGAGGAGTCCTAGATCAAACCAGACTTTCCAGTCCAATCATGGAGCAGATGCAGATCCTGAAAGAGGCTTCAGTAAGAAACATGCTCCCAACTCTAGTTTGGGCATAACCACAGGGCATCAAAGGAGTGAGGATCATACTCACTGCCTCTATGGCTGCAGACCTCTTCTCTTTTCTCCAACCTCAAGTCCACTATCTCTCAAGCCATGCTTAGTTTGGCTAGTGAAACTGATTTTCTTTTTTAAAAAACAGTTTGTTGGGGAGAATATAAAGGAAAAGAAGAAAGCTATTAGAAAAGAAAAGGGCAAGCTCTACAATCCTTTCCTTCCAACACCACACTGGTCCAGGCTGTAAAGCAGCTCTCAATATCACACAGTGATGTGAAAAACATTCGCAGAGCTTTACGCCAGTCAGCTTGACCTCTTACCACAGACTGATACAGGTTTCTTCTCCGTAATTCCAACCTGCCTTCCTTCCTCCTCTGACCCCACCTACCCAACAAATCCATACCCCTAAAGAACACTAATGAGCCCTTCTTACCAAAAGAAAAGATCAAGAGGTAGACATGCTGTAAGAGTGATTTCCAAAATTGGTGACAGCAAGTACCTAAATAGCAAATACCATCAGAAATTTGTTTTCCTATGACTCCCCACCATCTTTCACCCACAAATCTCACTTCAGGCAGGATACCAAACTGAAGATATGATGGGGAGACAAGAAAATATAGTGAGCATGAAGGAAGTTGCTTGTGACAGGATGTGCTAAAATACTTTCAGCCTGATCTCTAGGCTCTTGCCCACGTTCGCTTTTACAAGTGAAAGCACACAAGACTCAATTCTACACCCAACTCTCAAAATCTGCGTGAGATCTAAGTAGAACACTAAGGGAGCACAGGCAAAGGGCAGCCTCTACAGAAGAGTGCCTTTTTCAGATTAAATGATTTTCAGCATCACTCGGAGCCCATGCATCCTGCTCACAGGGAGCATGCCAGCCTGTCACCGGAGGCCACCTTACCCGCTCTGGGGTTGAGCTGGGGCAAGTCGCTACCTCTTCTTTCCAAGTAGGCACTGTGATTTCTTCCAGTCCCTGGGGCCCCTGAGTCTTCAGCTGAAATTGGGGCAGATGCTGCTATAAGAACCGTGGAAAGGCTGATCTAAGTCTGGAAGAGGGTCATTTGACTGGTTTTAGTTCCCTCCTTACCGAAACTGCCTAGCATGCTTCAGGTCTCTTTTCCCCTCTTTCCGACTATCCTCCTCTACGGAAAAGACCCCCTTTTCCTCTCCCACCCGCCTGCTGCCATCGGGCCTCGGCCCCACGCTCCAGGCTTTTGACTCTCGGTTAATAAGTTCCGCTTCAATTCGTGACTCTGCTTCTCCCGGGCTGCACACCTACTTCTGGCTCCCCCGCCTCGAACTCCCTCCCCCAGGACTACCAATGGAATCTAGGCCCCCTCCCTTCCATCCCTATCTCCTTTTTTTCTCTCCGCCTCCAACCTTTCACCATTCCATTTCCTCTTCTCAACCCCAGAGGTAGTCCCAGCTCCTCCCCAGCTCCATGCTGGTGTCCCCACGGTCTCCCCCAACTCTAGACTCCCTGCCCGGCTATTCCAATCCCACAACAAACTTTTGCCGCTGCCCACTGCCTTCAGACCGCCATCTTGCCGCGGGGCAGGCCGGGTAGTGGCCACAGCCGCGGGAATCCCCACGCACTGGGCGCGGCGCGTCATCGTGGGCGTGGTTATGGGGGCGTGGCCCCGAGCTGGGGAACTGGGGCGCTGGACCGTGGGGAAAGATTGGGGTCGTCTAAGAGCAGGATTTGGAGTTCTGGTCGCAGGGGAAGGAAGGGTCTGGAGTAGGGCGATAGCAGGAAAGCGGGGGGGGGGGGGAGATTCGAGTACTCAAAAAACAAACAAAAAGAATGGGGGTGGGGAGGAGAAACAGCACAAAAATATAGTGAAAGAGTTGTAGCACTGGTTCCCCAGGGATCACCCGAAGGATGAAAGGCAGCTTTTCAGCTTGCCACACGGAGATAGGCAAGACCCAGCCTCTTTGACCTTGACCAGCCTCATTTTCCATCTCTCCCAGGGACTGAAGTATTTCCAGTTATCTTGTTTTCAGGCCATCAGGCCTTAAAATGTTCAAACCCTCTCCTCCCCTTACATTATGAATTCCTACTCCTCCTTCAGCCCTCTACACAAATTGCCACCTCCTCCAGGAAGCCTTCCCCAATTTTCCAGGTTGGATTTTGTGCTCCTTTTGCTAAGTATCTCTAGCCACTTACACATAACTTCACTGTAGCTATCCCGTGCTATAATTATTTACATGCTCTGTGCCTTACTAAGCTGCTGCCCCTTTGGGGCAAAAACTATGTCTGAATGCCTGGCACACAAGAAATACTTAACAAATAAATACCATAGCATCCTCCAACACTATAAAATGTTTCAGCCTCAGGGCTTTTAGGTTTGCTATTCCCTGTGCCTGGAATGTGCTTCCTCCAGATATTTCCTCTCATTTGTGTCTCTGTTCAAATGTTACTACTTCAGAGAAGCCTTCCCTGGCAGTCTATCTAAAACAACATCCAACATCCTCAATCACTCTCCCTTATCCTGTTTTAAAATTTTCTTTCATAGCAATTTTCATTATCTGACATATTTTTCTTTGTTTATTGACCATCTCCCACTAGAATGCAAGCTCCAGAGCTGGGACTTTTTCTGATTTGTTACTGTATCCTCAGTATCTAAAACAATGCCTGGCTTAGTGGGTACTCAATAGATGTTTATTGAATGAATAAATGACATGGAGATTAGTGATAGATGGATTCTAGAATATAGTGATGGGGAGAAGGGGGTGAAAATACTGTACAACAGGGGAATGCACAAATGGAAGATATAGGTGCCCACAGCCATATCAGGGATGGGAGGAAAGACTCAGCAAGGGAGGGAGGGAATAGGATGAGAGCCAGGTGGAATTCTGGAGCTGGGTCCTCAGGGAGCGGAGCTCTCCTGGGAAAGCCACAGCTCAGGTAGAGGAAATGGGATGGGCTGGAGCCTGAGGAGGTTACTCAGATCTAAAGACAATATCCACCCCAAGCCCAGGCCTCTTTTGGCCAGATGGTTCCGGAGAAACCTTAGCATCTGTTCCTCCGTAAATTATCCAGTGCTCCCTCCTGCCTGTCTTCTCTGGTGACACCCGGAACAATTGTCCAGGAATTCCATCTGCTCCCTGGTCCTGCTCCCCTCCAAAGCTCATCAACATTGCAGAGTGGAGAGGTGTCCCATTTCCCAGGGCCTGCGGTTGGGGGCTGGGTCTGTCCCTTGATGGAGCTGGCCTCAAGCACTCGCTCCTCTAACAACACAAACAAATAAAGCCTCAGCAGAGAATCCCAGGCCCCTGGAATTTAGTTCTCATCCTGTCCATGCTTTTCAATCTGATAGAACTTTTTATTAGTAGTAATTTAATAAAATTACACTAAATAAATCAATTATGTTGATTTTTACAGAACTTTTCAAATAAGAGTTCCCAATCATTATACATTTCCACACAATTCCCTTTAAATTGCTCACACAATACTTTCAAAATGTGACATTTGTCATGATATAAGACCAAAAGCTCAGATTTTTTTTTAATGACTTTTACTGTTTACTAAAAGGAATCTGCCTGAAGGAAGAAATAGAAAAGAAAAATCCTCTCTCCACCTTTCCTGAAATTGCTTTGGGAGGAGGAAGGGAGGCTCATGAACTGTCCAGTAAACATAGGGTATATAAATCTGAAAAGCAATTCAAGGTTATATTTTGTAAAAAAGGAAGGTACCAATAAACATAAATATACCTTTGAAAAGAAAGGGAGTCCCAGTCTTCCAGCGTTTTTAACTTTTAGGATATATAAGGTAAAGTTCTTTTTCCTCTGAGGAGGCTGGTTGACCTCATCACTCCCTTCTCTGTGGATGCACAAATGCGTGTGTGTGCCTACTGTTCCTTCGGCCACAGTTACATGATTGTTCACCATCGCTATAAGAGAACTATGAGAAAGGTGGTAAAGATTTAAGATCTCTTCTAGGCTTTTAGGGTTTTATGAAATAGGTGCATTTGTGGAAGAGTCAGGGTTACTACATTTTGATGGCAGTTTTCATATGATTGTGCCTTGGTGTCCACAGGGCTATGGGGGCTGTAGAGCCCACCTGCACAAACATGGTCAAGTATTTTCCAGAGCACAATCCACCCAGATCCAAGACAGTTCTTTCTTCTGATTTCATTCATGTAGATCCAGTCTCCCAGCTGGAATGAGTGTGTTTGTATGGAGTCCAGGCTTGGCAGAGAGAAGAGAATAGAAGTGGGTCTTGGGATAAGACAGCAAGTTGAGCTCCAGCTATTGGAGGGAATTGCTGGGGAAAAAAGTTGAAACCATCCTGGGTTCAGCTCCATAATCCTTTGAACTGTTCATTGTGTCAGCTTAAAGGGCCCTAGCCCATGTGCAGCTGTTTCAGTTGCAATTGACATTAACTACTAATAGTTTTTTGTTCATTTGCTTGCTTTTCCATTTTATTGCTAAGTGCTTTATTTTTTAATTTTTATAAAGCTTTTTAAAGGTTACACTCCATTTACAGTCATTACAAATATCTACTAATAGTTTGAAGCCAGGAGGCTGCCTATCTCTCTCATTTGACCTGACTGGACATGCTGAACCCTATTTACATGGTTGTTTTGACAATGCTTTCAAAACCTCAAGAGGTGATAACTTCGTCTGCTTCCCTAGATTTAATTTCTACATATTTCCTAATTCTTCTGTCCGTTAATAGAAGTCCACAGCTGCCACCCTGGTGGGTAAGCTTTTATTATGTATAAATGTTTCTTTTCCTAACTCTGGATTTTGAATTTGATGGGTGTCTAAGATGTGTAATTTTAAAGACCTTGAAACCTCGTGGAATCTTGCATTCCTTAATATTCTTAGAGCCACTTAACTCTTAAAAGAGACAATGAAGGCAGGAACTCAAATAAATATTTCTGTACCCAAATATGCAATAATGCTACTCATGGCAGCATTATTACAACAGCCAAAAAGTGGAAGCAACCCAAGTGTAAAGGACAAATGGATAAACAAAATGTGGTATATACATACAAAGGAAAAAGGAAATTCTGGCACATGCTACAACATGGATGCGCCTTGAAGACGTGATGCTACGTGCAATAAGCCAGATACAAAAGGACAAATGCTGTATGATCCTGCTTACATGAGGCACCTAGAGTAGTCAAATGCTTAGAGACAGAAAATAGAATGGTGGTTGCCAGGTGCTGGGGAATGGGGGATGGGGAGCTAGTGTTTAATGGGTATAGAATTTCAGTTTGGGAAGACAAAAAAGTTCTGGAGCTGGATACTGGTGATGGTTGCCCAACAACATGAATATTGGCAATCAATGTTAATACCACTGAAATGTACACTTAAAATTGTCTAAAATGGGAAATGCTATATATTCATCCCATATATCTTTATATGATACCAAGTCTTGTTTTCTGGCTTCTGGTAGAGTCCCACTTCTGCCAGCTCTAAGGCAGGGGCTTGCTGAGGGCAGGGCTTGTCTCCCCACTCAGACTTTGGGCACCCTCAGGTGAAAAGCTGTTCCTCCCCTCTCAGACTTCAATTTTGAGTCCTGGGGAAGCTGGAAGGTTTTGAGTAGAGATATGATTTCGTCTAACCTCTATCTTTTAAATAAACTTTTAATTTTGGGGTAATTTTAGATTTACAGGAAAGTTTCAAAAATAGTAAAGAGAGTTCCCATTCACCCAGTTTGCCCTAGTGTTAACACTATGCATTACCGTGGTACATTTGTCAAAACTATGAAGCCAACATTGGTACCTTGTGTAAACTAAGCTCCAGACTTTACTCAGACTTCACCAGTTTTTTCACTAATGATATTTTTCTGTTTCAGGGTTCAATTTAGAATACCACATGGCATTTTGCTGGCTTCCACTTTATCATGATCACCCTGTCTGCTATAGGACAATAGAAGACCCATTAGGGAGCTGTTGTGGTGGTCCAGGCAAGATATAGTGCGGCTTGGACCCAAGTGTTAGAGGTCAGATTGTAGAAAGTGGACAAATTCTGGATGAACTTGGAGGCAGAGTCAACAATATTTGCAGGACACCAAATGTAAGAGAGAGGAGTGTTAAGCATGATGCCAAGGATTTTGGCTTAAAACACTTGGCCATTCACTGATATATCTAAGACTGGGACAGGAAGACTGTTTGGGGCTGGAAATCAGGAGCTTGCCTTTGGACATGCTAAGTCTGAGTTGCCCATTGGACAAAAAATCCAAGTGGAGATATTGAGTAGGCAGTTGGATACACAAGTCTGAATTTCAAGGATAAATCTTGGTTAGAAATATAAACTTGGGAGTCATTAGCTTATAGATAGTATTTAAAGCCATTAGACTGGAAGATACCATGAAGGAAGTGAGTTAAAGTAGAAAAGAGAAGAGGTCTGAGCCCTCTTGAGCCCTGGGACTGTGGAAGAAATTGGGAAGATGAGGAGGAAGCAAAGGAGACTGGTGTGGCCATTGTGGTAGGTAGAAAAGCTCGTGAGATTGATCCTAGAAGCCCAGTAAGCCCATGTATCAAATGCAGCTTACAGAGCCATGGAGATTAGGACTGAGAAGTCACTGTTGGATTTGGCAATGGTGAGGGCACTGGTGACCTTGACAAGAGTAATTCTGATGGAGTGATGGGGCCAGAGTGGGTCCAAGAGAAAATGAGAAGAGAGGAGGTGAAGACAGCAGATATAGACACATGTTTTTTGAAAAATGTTCAGTAAAGGGGAGCAGAAAATTGTAGCTGGAAGAGAACATGGGATTGAGGGAGGTTATTTATTTTAAGACGGGAGAGGGGATGGTGTAAATGATCCCATGGAGAGAAAACTGATGAGGCAGAGTGGATGGGGAGAACTGCTGGAGCCCCATAGTGACACAGGTGAGAAGGGATGGGAATTCGTGCCCGGGTGAAGGGAGGGGTTCCCCTATGTAAGGATGCTGGTGGCACAGCTATGGTAACAGGAGGGAAGAGAGTATATGGAAACAGATGCAGGTGGGCGGAGGAGGCGTGTGGAAATACTCTTCAGATTGCTTCTATTTTCTTCATGAAGTTGGAAGCAAGACCACCAGCAGAGCAACGAGGAAGGAGGAAGGGTTGGGGGTTGGAAGAGCTAAAAATAGTTGTCGGGGAGGCTGAGAGAGTGCACTGAACCGGGAAAACGCAACACTGGTGACCAACACAAAGGGTGTTTGAGAGAATGAGTTTAAGTGAGACCCGTCAGCCTGGATATGTGTTTTTTCCAGCCTCATTCAGCTGCTTGGGTGCAGGTCAGAGAAGTCACCATGGTGGGGTTTTACCAGATGGATAGGTTTGGTGAGAGGGGCCAGGGAGTTGGTATATGCAAGGAGATGATTATAATGAAAGACCATGGAATCAAAGCTGGGTAAGGAGGGATGCGTGGATGTGAAGGGATGGGGTCGCTGAAAAGGGGGTGGATCAATAGATGTGAGACAGGGCCAACTTATGAGGTACAATTCCTAAGGCCCCCAATTCTTTTAGGGGCACACAAAATGTTTTAATTTAGTTTAAAATCAGAAGAAAAAAGTAAATATAATAAAAATGAATATATAATAATGAATCCAGTCTGGATTATATTCATCTTGATACCAAAGCAATGATAAAATAGTTTTTAATATTCTTTCAAAAGGAAGGGATTCATGAAGGCTAAGTGTCTAAGGCCCACAAAAGTTGTAATGTGAGCTTTATGGGTGATCTTAGTGGGTCCAAGTTCAATATTTGTTGAATATATTTATAATGGCAAAAATGTAAACACAACCTAAGTGTCCAGAATTCTTTGAGTCCAGGTACTATGGGCTGAAAAGATGGGAGCTGGTGATAGGAAAGTGTGATACTTAAAACTGAGATTATGGATTGTGTGAATCAATTGGTAATAACAAGGTTTGGGTGGGAACATCCTTCTCATTGGTGGAGAAGAAGAAATCAAGGATAAAACCAGGGAAGCTGGTTTTATCAGTTACCTATTGCCATATCAACAACACCCCAAAATATAGTGGCTTAAACAGCCCACCCCCAACTTATCTGCTTATCACCATTTATCTGGTAACATGGGCTGGGCTCTGCTGAACAGTTCTTCTGTTGGTCTTGCCTAGGCTTACTCATGAGGCTGCAGTCATCTGGGTAGGACCTCCCATGTGGTGGATGTTGGCCAGGTTACCTCAGTTCTCTTCCATGGGGCTTCTCATCTTCCAGTAGGCCAGACTGGACTTCTTTACATGACGTTGGAAGTTTTCTAAGAGGGCAAAAGGGGAGCTGTGAGAGCTCTTGAGGCCCAGACTCTGGGGACTCACACAGTGTCATTTTGCCACATTCTATTAGTCAAAACAAGCCATAAGTCCAGCCCAGATTCATGGGGTTGAGAAACAGACTTGACTTTTTGCTAGGAGGAGCATCAAAATGACTGCAAAGGGTCATGTGGGACAGTTGGAAGTGGAGTGGCCATCTTTACAAACAAACTATCACGGTCATTGGAGAAATTGGTCCTGAATCAAGAATCACCAAGAATTTGACAGAACTGAGCGTGAAAATCATGATGATCTTTAAAGCATGAGGGAGTAGTGATAAAATCTGATGCCATCATCTTCCAAAGCTTCAAATATGTTTATTGTTTCATCAGTGAATGCCAATGAGTTTCATTAACAAAAAGGAACTGTTCATTTTCCACAACTGCTTTGGCTCAGTCACTCACCAATTCAGACTCTATCTTAAGGAAGGAACCTAAAATATGGAAAAAGCTACATGCATGAAAATTTGTGACATTACTATTTATCTGGGAGCTGTAGCCCCAGTGCCTAGGATGATGTCTGGCACATAGGAGTAGTACATGGGTGCTCAGTAAATACTTGTTGAATGAATTCATAATGGCAAATAGTAAATACAAGCTAAGTATCCAATAAAGGACTAGGTTAAATAAATCATGGTGTATCTATTTAGGGAATATTATGCAGCCATAAAAGATTATGCTTTTGAGGACTATCAACATACGATGTGGAGTGAAAAAAAAAGGGGGGGATATCACATTACAGTTGCTGTGTATAAACATCTGGATAGGAAAAGGAGTCAAAACAACAACAGTGGTTTTACCAAGCTAATAGGATCATGGGTGATTTTTAAATTTTTACTTTATACTCAAAGTTCTTTAATGTTACTGAATTTCTTTAATAATAATAAAAACTGAGTATGTTCATCATGAAAAAAAGGAAATGCTGGAAAGCATCAATAAGAAAAAAACCTATAATTCCATTATTTAGAGAAAAAACACTACCAACTTTTCAGATATGTTCTGCTTTGTTTCTTGCTTCTTCCCCTCCACCTAACATATTCTTAATTTTTTTGATATCTTTTGATTTCCAAAAGGTGATTTTAGTAGTCACATAGTGTTGATATATCACAATCTCTTTGGCCTACAGTAATTTTGGACATTATAGACTGTGAAGTTTTTCAATGAAAAAAATTAAACGAAGTAAATGGTTAGAGCTGTGGCATTATTCATCTCAAATTCAGAAAGCTCTTCAGGAAAGAGGTGATCGGAGTTTCAGAGAAGGGAGATGAGGTATGGCTGTTAATGCTCAATAGAGACTGTAAGAAAAATTAGTCCAGGGGCTCTGATCTGTGGGGGTGTCTGTAGGAAGCTGGCACGGGCTAGGGACTCCTTCCCATATTTTGAACTTAAAGATAGTGAAATCTTGATTTGGAGGACTAGAGATGGGCAGTGGTGGTCCTGACCTCTGCCTCTTGATCTGCACAAACAAGAAACTTCCCTGCCCTTGCCTGGCACAGATGTCTCTGAGCCATTAGCCTGGAAAGGTAGGGGTCCCCCACTCCCTGTAGATTACTCTTAGTCTGAGCTCTGGGTTTAGGTGGTCCACGATTAGCCTGAGGTCATGAACGGATGTGATCAAGGTACAGAGGTCGGAATTTGGGCGGCACATTTACAGAGTCGGAGCGTTCCCAGTGCAGGCAGTCTTCCCAGTAGTGGTCGCGGAAAGGAATGGGGTGGGAAAGACAGACTCCCAACACGGAGGGAAGAGTGGAGAGGGTGGGTGAGTGCCAGGCTAATGCTTAGGCGGGGATGCATCCTAGATGGCTGTGGATGAGGAAAGAAGCGGACGGCGCGGAGGAGGAGAGGAGCAGACAGATGAAGCAGGATTTACAAACGGAGGAGGAGTGGGCTGTTGACAGGAGGAGGGCCGGGAGCGGCAGGTATGCCCTGAGCGTGCACGGGTTGTATATGAGAGGCGTGATGGGAAGCGGATTGGTGAGAAGAGAGGTGGGGCGTGGGGAGAGCGGCGCGGGTCAAGAGAGCGGAGATGAGAGATGGAGAATAACCGCTGCGCACATTTGGTCGACCTTCTACAGTCTGCTCCCACTTAGATTCCCATAATTTCCTACTGTTGGAGTGAGCAAGGTTCGGAGAGGTCGGGTGTCAACAGAGGATGTGGGGGCGGGTGTGCGCGGTGCGTCGCCGGGGGTGGGCGCCTGGCGCAGGCGGTGGAGGGCGGGCCGGCGGCGGCCCGGGATGGGAGGGGGGAGGCGGGTTCCGCCGGCACACGCCACCCCTGGCAGGCTGCCTGAGCGCGTGTGAGGAGCCGCCGCCGCTGCCGCTCGGGGTCCCCTTGAGCCCCAGATTCCCCAGCGCTCGGCTCATATGGCAGCCGCCTCGGCACCCGGACCCGCGGCCCGCTAAGGGGCGGCCCCGCGGCCCGGCCCAGCCCTTCGGCGGAGCCCGTCGGATCCGGCCCCGCTCTGCGCCCCGGGGAGCTCTGTCTCCGAGCCCGAGGTGAGGACCAAGAGGGCAGAGGCGCGCTGGGCTGGGGGCGCTCAGAAGATCCCAGGCCCGGCGCCGTGGCTGAGCCGAGAGCGGCGGAAATAGGAAAGGGACGTGAGAGCAAGTCCTACGAGGAGTTGGGGATGCGGGGCTGGGAATTCTTGCCGCCGGGAACCGGCCCCCGCGTCCCCTCCGTCCTCGAGGCCGCCTCTCGGCGCTGTCCCAGTCCCCGCAGACTCCGTCCCGACTGCGTTCCCAGCCCCGGCCCATCCTCGCCCAGACCTTTCTCCAGTCTGTCCATCCTTCACCTCCCTCCTGCAGAGCCTGCTCCCGGTCCCTGTCTCCAATTCCTTCGCCTGCTCAAACCTTCCTCGCCCCCGCCCTCTCGCTGCCCTCACCTCCTTCTTCTGTCTGGACGCCCCTTTACTCCCTCGGCTCCTGTCACTCGAAACAGGAATCCATGCCACTATCCCCGGGTCCGGCCGCCTCCCAGCCTGTGCCACCCCACAGGTGTCTGCACGCCCGTCCGTCCGTCTGTCCCTCCCTCCTGGGGCTGGCACTGACCATGCCCAGCGGCTGCCGCTGCCTACATCTCGTGTGCCTGTTGTGCATCCTGGGGGCACCCGTTCAGCCTGCCCGAGGTGAGTGCTCCCCCACGCTGGGGTCCCGGCCCTGTCCGGCCGTCCCTCACTTGCACGTTGACCTCTGCAGGCCAGAGACGGCACTGCAGCCGCTCCGACTCGCTGGATCGGCGACACCCAGGACGTCCTATTGAAATGCAATGAGTCTCAGTTCTACCCTGCCCCAGAGCTGAGCCCACCCTATTGCTGGGACCCTGCATCTTTTCCCGACCCCTGCATCTCAGCCGAACCCTGACCCCGGGTTCACTCCTCCCACATCAATCTCTTGCAGCCGATGACTGCAGCTCCCACTGTGATCTGGCCCACGGCTGCTGTGCTCCTGACGGCTCCTGCAGGTACCTTTCCTGAGCACGTGCTCCCAATCCCTCTGCATTTTCCGGGCCTCCACACCCCCAACCAGATCAGGCCCCAGAGCAAAGTGACTAGGGGCTTAAGACTCTGCTGCTCATTCCCTATAACGTCAGGTACAGGGCACAGGGCACAGGACAAATGGCCAGCCCTGCACCCGTCCCCCACCTCCAGTTCCTCTTTGCCTTGCCTCTCCTTTGCCTCTTTTAGCTTATGGCTTCCCACGTTACTCTCCCAAGTCTGACCTAGGAATTCTGCAACATTCCTCTTCAAGACACCAACAGAAAGTCCTAAAGCTTGAGGAAGTTTAGAAATTAGAAGCCACGAGGAAAGGGGGAAATAAAGGAAAGCTACATTGAGACTTGGTTTAGCCTGGAAAAGAAAGGCTGTTGCGAGGGTTGCTGGGGAGAAACACTTGTGAAAGAGGGTCTGTCTTGATGAATTTGAGTAATTGACTCACTGGGGTTGGGGGTGGGCAAACTCTGTAGCAGGAGGAACGTGTATCTGGACACAAGGAAATGAGCTGACAGGGCAAGCTGCTAGAGAGTCTGGGGGTGCATGGGATGCTCTGAAATACATTGGTCTTTGCCCTGGAATCAGGGTGGGAAGATAGTTCTGATGACCTTTCAAGGTCACTGTTTTTACAAGACCTTTCTAAGCATCTCAGACAGGCCAGGAATGGTGCTGGGGGCACTTACAGAAATCATCTTAATTTCTTCCTCAACACATCCCTCCAAGGTGTATCCCAGTTTACACATGAGAAAACTGAGTCTCAGAAAGGTTAGACAAAGTGCAGAACCAGGACTTGATTGCTGGTGTCTGATGGTCTGATTCCATATATGTGTCCTGTGACCCTGCACAGCCCTCTATCTACCTGGGGTAGGCCTGCTTTCCCTTAGGGGCTGTCACGTTTGTCTCCTGTTACCCAGAGACTCTGATCTTGCCTCCTCCATTTCCTCACATCCCCCGACCCACAGCCCTGACCCTGTGCTTCTCCCCATCAGGTGTGACCCAGGCTGGGAGGGGCTGCACTGTGAGCGCTGTGTGAGAATGCCTGGCTGCCAGCATGGTACCTGCCACCAGCCCTGGCAGTGCATCTGTCACAGTGGCTGGGCAGGCAAGTTCTGTGACAAAGGTAGGGGAGTAGAGAGGATATCTGTGGGGCTGGGGGCTCCATGTGTTTTGGGAGAACATCAGTCCTTATTTACTGAGCACCTCTTCTGTCCAGCTCAAACCTTCAGATATATGGTATTTTATAACTACAGACTTTACACCTATCTGTTGTCTGAATTGGTCCTCAACACAATCCTGCATGGCAGGCAAGGCAGCTGCTGAAAATTGTACTCATGTTACAGATGAGGAAACAGCTCCACAGATGAGATACAACATGCCCAAAGTCACTTTGAGCCAGACTGACAGTGCCAGGGCTGGGCACCTCCTGACTCCAAATTCAGTGATGATGTTTTCCCCCACTACATCCGTACCAGCCCAGGATGGGATTGTAGCACAAGCCACACCCACAGAGCTTTGGGTGGGGCCTGGGCAGGTCAGGGTGCTATCCCAGAGCCCTCCTGGTCTCCTCTCCAGATGAACACATCTGTACCACGCAGTCCCCCTGTCGGAACGGAGGCCAGTGTGTATACGACGGGGGTGGCGAGTACCACTGTGTGTGCCCATCAGGCTTCCATGGGCGTGACTGCGAGCGCAAGGCTGGACCCTGTGAGCAGGCCGGGTGAGTGCAGGTCCCAGGTTAGATGAGAATCTGGTGACACGAGGGAGAAGGGAGGATTGTTGAGAGGGTGGTGGTGAAGGGTTAGGGGTAAGGGTCTTGGAGGCACCCGAGGATAAAACCCCAGCCTGCCAAAGTATCCCTCGGGTTCTTAACTTTCTTGGTACCATTTGACCCATTTCTCCAACAAAAATCTACAGGGGCTGGGGGTGTAACGCATCAGTGTGTGACTGCCCCGGTTGGGAAGGCTGAGGACCTGGGTCTCCCCTCATCCTCCCAGGATCTTGTTCCACACAGCAGCCTTTATGCCTCATGGTGAACGAAGAAATGGCCTGCAGGGCTGGACTTGTCCCTCAAACTTCCACCGCAGACCTGAGAGCCTGTGAGGATAATAATAGTACACTTGCCTTGAGCCTTGTCTCTTGGTCAGGCCCTCTGCTACATGCTTAACTTCAGATTATCTCGTTTAACCCTCACAATTTGGGAAACTGGGTACTGCTCTTATCCCATTTTTAAAATGAGGCATTTGAGGCTCAGAGTGGCTCAAGGTGACACAGCTGGAGGTGATCAGGATGTTGACCTCGGCTACCCTGCAGGTGGAAGTCAGTAAAATGCCCTCTCCCACCCCACCCAGGTCCCCGTGCCGGAATGGTGGGCAGTGCCAGGATGACCAGGGCTTTGCCCTCAACTTCACGTGCCGCTGCCTGGCGGGCTTCGTGGGTGCCCGCTGTGAGGTAAACGTGGATGACTGTCTGATGCGGCCTTGTGCTAATGGCGCCACCTGCCTGGATGGTATTAACCGCTTCTCCTGCCTCTGCCCTGAGGGCTTTGCTGGACGCTTCTGCACAGTCAACCTGGATGACTGTGCCAGCCGCCCATGCCAGAGAGGGGCCCGCTGTCGGGACCGCGTCCATGACTTTGATTGTCTCTGCCCCAGTGGCTATGGTGGCAAGACCTGTGAGCTGGTCTTATCCATCCCAGATCCTGCCACCACAGCAGACATCCTCCCGGCGCCCACCTCAGCTGTGGTGGTACCTGCCACCAGGCCTGTCCCCCACAGCGCAGGGGCCGGTCTGCTGCGCATCTCTGTGAAGGAGGTGGTGCGGAGGCAAGAGGCCGAACTGGGCGAGTCTAGCCTCGTTGCTGTGGTGGTGTTTGGGGCCGTCACTGCCATCCTGGTCCTGTCCACAGTGTTGCTGATCCTGAGGGCCTGGCACCGGGGTGTCTGTCCCCCTGGACCCTGTTGCTACCCTGCCCCGCACTATGCCCTGGCACGCCAGGACCAGGAGTGTCAGGTTAGCATGCTGCCAGCAGGACTCCCCCTGCCGCCGGACCTGCCCCCCGAGCCTGGGAAGACCACAGCACTGTGATGGAGGCGGGGGCTTTCCGGCCCCCTCCTTCACCTCCTGCACTGCTCAGACTGGAGTGGTCCTTTCTTACCACCCCTCAGCTGGGATTCACACACTGGGGCACCTCAGCCTCACACCAGAAATATTATTTTTTTAATACACAGAATGTAAGATGGGAATTTTATCAAATAAAACCATGGAAGTGCATGTGGGCTCCTTTGCCAGAAAAATCCACCTGAAGTCCCAGATGCAAGAGGGCCAGAGCACAGACCTGCTTCTAAGGAAACTATGGGACTCTGCCCCCCAAGAAGGAGTGGTTTTTAAGGAGGAACCCAGGGTACCCCTTTCTCCTCTGTGGAAGGGAAGGAGAGGTAGAGCCACAAAGGAGAGTGTAAACAAGCAGCCCTGCACAGTCCAGCAGTGGGAGCACAGAGGGGCCTGCAGGGCGAGGACGCGGGGCCTCAGGGAGAGGAGCGGGCTGCCTGCTGGCTGCTCTGCAGCAGCTGCTGAAACAGTGAGTGGGGCCGGCTGCGCAGGGCGGCCGGCGAGTCCAGCTCCACGACCCTCCCTGCTTGCAGCACCAGCACCCGGTCTGAGTTCAGGATCGTGTTGAGCCTGTGTGCGAGAGGGTGGTTAGTGTGGGATGGAGGACAATGCCCTAAAGAAGAAAGCTGACCTGCTTTTCCTCCTCTCCTCCCCTGGACAGTACCGGGCTGCCCCCCTAGGCATCAGCCCCAGGCTCTGCACTGGTAGGGGTGGGGCTGCAGATTCCCTCAGACAGTGTGCTACAAAGGGCCTGGGTCAGTGTCTAGAGAATGAGGAGCTGAGCTTCATGGAGGCTTGGACTTTCTAGAGCCCTGACCCCTAGGGTCCCTGAAAGGAAGGGAGGCCCTGGGTCCCTGACACCACAGCCCCCCATCAGATTCTCACTCTGGACGCTTACACACCTGTGTGCAATGGTCAGCACTGTCTTGTTGGCAAAACGCTGGCAGATGGTCTGCTGGAGCAGTTGGTCTGTCTTCTGGTCCACGCTTGCCGTGGCCTCATCGATACACAAGATCTGGAACATGTGGAGAAGGTTAAGGAGGAGGAGGAAGAAGAGAGTTAGCTTTGGCTGCTACCCAGGTACCAGCCCCTACCTGCCAGCCTGGCCCAGGCGAGCCCACAGCTCCCTACCTCCAGCTCTAAAAGGAAAACTAACTTGGTCCCTTGAGACCTCTCCCCAGCCCACTTCCTCGTGCCTCACCCCTGACATGTCCCCTGCCTCCTTCCTGGCCCTCTTGAATGTCCCTTCCTCTTATCTTACCTTGGCATCCGTGAGGAGAGCCCTGGCCAGACACAGCAGCTGCCTCTGCCCCAGAGATAAGCTCCGGCCCCCCTCGCCCAGCTCACCATCCAGACCACCTGCAAAGCACAGCATCTTCACCCTCAGGTTCTGGGCCACCCTCCCACCCGCTTCCTGCTCACTCCCTTTGCCACCATGCAGGCTAGGACCTAGCACTCACCCAAAGATACGATCACCTCACTCAGGTGGCACTGCTCCAGGGCCTGCCACAGGGCCCTGTCCTCATACAGGCCCCGGGGGTCTAGGTTTTCCCGAACAGTCCCACTGAACAAAAAGGGCTCCTGGGGGATGATAGCCAGCTGGGATCTGGGGGATAAGGAGAGGGCAGGACATGGGGTCTAGCCTGGAGGCGTGGCCACTTCTGCTCCCAGGGCAGGTTTTAGCTATAGGACCAGCACCTCAGGAAAGCTCAGGGATAAGACCTGAACACAAACCCCACTCTGCTCCCCAGTTGTCAGCCATGAACCTAGAATTGTGCCAGCACTATGAAACCAAAGGCCTAGACTCTGCACTTAAGGAGCTGACATTTCACTGAGGGACAAAAAACAGAACAAGCATGAGCTAAACTGTGTGGCACTAACTCCAGTGGGGCAGCAGTGGCTGGCAAGGAATGACCAGAGGGTTTGAATGGGTAGGGGATGCTTCAAGGTTGGAAGCGGGTCTAGAATCGGGTCCCGAGGAGCTATATGGTCAGGCTATAACATAAGGCCAGCACAGGTTGAAAGACGGAAAGAAGGACAGGGCCAGGGCTGGGATCAGTAATGGACTTTAGGACAGAGCTTCCCTACCTTTTTCATGCCTTGGAACTCAGGGAAAATGATACTGGGGGAATGTGGTTGGTGAGGGGCGGGGGAGATATTTAGCTCCAGGTGAGGCCACCTGTGGCCAGGTGCAACTGGCCCAGGTCTCCAGCTGTCCCAAGCACCGCCTGCCGAGCTCCAGGGCACAGCGCCTGGGAGGCTCTGATTCAGGAGGTGATGACTGATGGTCCAGAGCGTATGCTGGGAAGTACAAGATGAAACTGGAAAGGTGGGCCTGGGTCGGACTGACAGTCTTAAGACCATAGCTATGAATTTGGACCTGAGCACTGGGAGCTCGCTTTCCTTGCCTGCTTGTCCCATTCTCCGTCCCGCCTTCTGATTGGCCCTGGCTGCTCTGACGTTATATAAAGCCTTCCTCTGACTTTATATAAAGGTCCTTCCTCTAAGTGCCAGTAGTCTGGTCCCCTCTCCTCCCTCCCTCAGACCTGAGCTCAGCCAGCTCCAGCTGGCTGGTGTCCACGCCATCCAGCAGCACTGTCCCAGAACTGGGCTCCAGCAGCCGGAAGAGCACCAACAACAGGGAAGATTTGCCAGAGCCCGTGCGGCCCACGATGCCCAGCTTCTCTCCAGGCTGCACGCAGAAGGTCACCCCATCCAGGGCGTTGGGTAGCCCTGGCCGGTATACCAACACCACATCCTGGAACTCCACGCTTCCCTGGGTCAGCCAGCCGATGCCCAGCTGGTGGGGTCCGTGGGTGGGAGAGGGAGAGAGATGGATGAGATGGGGAAGAATGAGGGACTGGGGGCTTAGATGGTGGAAGGAGGGGAGGGTAACGAGTAATGGATGGTGTGAGAGGAGAGGTGGCGGGAATGAGGACGGTGCAGGAGGAATGGAGCAGGCGGACACAAAGATGAAGGACACTGAGAGGAATTGGGAGGTCACAGGGGACAAGAGAGGAGCTGAGAAAGGTGGTGAGGGGCACAAGGAACTGGAGGAGAGGCTGGGCCATCAGGAGGGTCCTGCAAGGTCCCAGTACCCAGGCTGGGGTGGGGGCGCAGACTACCTGTGGCCGCCGGCCCTGGGGCTCCTGGGGCAGGTCACAGGAGTACTCCTCCAGCCGCTCGACGCTCACCAGCATGGCTTCTGTCTGCGTGAAGCTGCTCACCAGGCCTGAGAGGAGGCCCGTCAGGGACAGGGCATAAGACAGCGACAGGCCTACAAGTCCTGGGAGAGGGAAACACCAGCACTAGGGGAGGCTTGGATGCTGGGATGCATGTGGGGAGGGCTGGGGCGCAACAGGAGAATCCTGAGCTGTGGATTGTGAGCATTTAAAGGAAGCCAGCATTGAAGCAGGAAGATGCAGAACCCAGACCAGCCCACAGGAGGCCAATGCAGGGGAGTGGGGTGACCTGGAGAGCCTACAAGGGAGGACAGGTGGGAGGCAGGTGGGCCGGGTGGGGCGCCGAGTGCAGGGGACAGGGTGAGCAAGTAAGGGGAGATCAGATTTGTTCTAGCCCCAGATCCACCACCACCTGGGAGAGGGACTCCTTGAGACTCAGTTTCCTCAGCCCTAAAATGGGGGTGATGAGAATGACAACACATCCTCACAGGGAACCCTGGGTGCAGGGTGAAAATGTTGGAGGGACAGTGCAAGTCACCGGCAGGGACTGGGAGTGACCAGCTTCTGAGGTGATAGTGAAGGGTCCTGGGGTGACACCTGGGTTGGCAAGGCCCTGCTGGTGCTGCACCAGGGCGATGCCTGCGATGGCGCTGACCACTGCGGCCCCCATGAGCTGTAGCCGAATGTCCAGCCACTGCATTGTGGCACTGGCAGCAAACTGGCACCTCTGGTTTAGGTCCAGGAGTCTCTGGTTCTCCTCCTCAAACCTGGGGGAAGTCATGCCATGGTTGCACTGACCCGCCCAGACTCCTTCCCTGCAGAAGGCATACTCCTGGGAGCTGACCTGCACCGCCACAGGCCTTACCTCAAGAGGAGCCAATGTGCTCTTTCATAGTGGGTCTGCTCTGTCTCAGTGTCCCTTTTTTCTGTTTCTTTCCTCTCTTCCCTAGTGCCCTCACCCACACTCCCCTTTTCAGGAGACCTGGAACCCCCCTTCCTCTCAGTGGTCCCTCTCCTCCCCATTCCCCGCACCTCCACCCACAGGGCTCTGGTCAGAAGAGGCAGACCTCACATACCTGTAGGAGGCCCCGGCGGCCCGCAGCACAGGGAGGCCAGCCAAGGTGTCGGCCAGGTGGGTGTAGAGGGGAGACAGTGTGAGGCTGCCCAGGCGCCGCAGCTCCCGTGAGGAGGCCCTGTAGCGGCGCTGCACGCGATAGTAGATGATGCTCAAAGGCGGCAGCAGCAGCAGCAGCCAGGGCAGGCCAGAGCCCAGCACAGCCAGGAGGCCCAGCAGGCCTGCTGCGTTGGCCAGGAGGATGTTGAGGATGAAGGGCAGGCTATCATCTGCACAGGCCACGTCAGAGGAGAAGCGGTTGAGGACCCGGCCCGTGGGCGTGGAGTCGAAGAAACTCACCGGCGCCTGGGAGAAGGGGTCAGGTGGTTGGGCAAGGGCAGGGCCTGGTGGAAAAGAGGTGGGGGCAGGCCTGGGGGCAAGGTGGGCTCAGGAGAAAGGCCCAAGGTTGAGAACAGGAAAGGCGTAAGGTGTCCCCAGAGTTTGCGGGCACAGAGGAGGGGCTGGTGGAGCTTGGAGGAAGAATACCCCAGGGTGGGAAAGACAGACTCTCCCATCCTTCTGGCCAGTGGTGACCCCGAGAGGCCAGGCCGGCCATCCCTCTACCTCCGTGCTAGATGTGCTACTCCCTCGGCAAGAGCAGGGAGCTAACCTCTCTCCAGAAGATGGGGCTTCAGGCCATGAGTGAGATTTAATTGGATGTCAGGAGGAACATCCTGATTGCCTGTGGCTGGAGAGAGTGGCGAGGGCAGTGGTCTAAGTCAGCACTCATGGTTAAGCGCTCAGGCTCTGCAGTCGGACTGCTCCTTGGATTCTAGCCCTGCCACTCACCAGACGTGAGACCCCAGGCAAGGGGCTTAATCTCTGCAAGGCTCCTGTCCTTCAGCTCAAAAAGGGGGACAGTAATG